AAGATATGTACATGGTCCACGACATTGCTGGGATTGCTCCATTTCCCAGGAAGCAGAATTGCTCCCATGGAGCAGAATTGTTCAAAGTGTGGTCCTTGTTGTACTCTTTATTTGTATTCTTTGTTTCTCCCTTGAAGAAGCAGACTAAATAGAAGTAATTCCAGTATTATTAATAATAAAAAGATTAATTGGAGTATCACTAAAGAGTAATTATCATAAAAACAAAACTAAATGAAATAACTTCGGGAAAGCATCATGGATTGCTAAAATAAGGCAAGTGTAAAGATTTTCAAAAGTTTTCTTAATTGTGTTCCCACAATATTTACAAACAGATGGGTATGAAAATTATATTAGAAGGATTTTAGAACTGTGTGTGTGCATGTGTGTGTGTGTGTGTGTTGTGCATGCACATGTTTTGCTTTTCTATTTAGAGAAACTGTACAGCCAACTAGACTTGTAAGAGAACAAAGAAGACATATGAGACATGAAGGGACGAGCTTTATATAAACCCTAACAAACAAAATTAGATTTCAAGAAGGTATTTAGGTGTATGTATTAAACATCTGCAATGTTTTTTCTATGTAATTATATTCTAGCTAGGAAGTTACCTAAGTATCTAGAATGTACACTCCTATAAAATTTAGACTCTACCGTAACTAAAAAAGAGATGCTTTAATCCTACTAGGAGGGGAAATACAAATGAGGGTGAGAAAGGGGGCGTAGAAGGTAATGGTCAAAGAGCAAAGGCAAGACCAGCAGAGTATACTTCATGGAAGTGGACATGTTTCTAGGTTGAGAGGAGGGTCCCTAAAGGAGCAGTTAAAGGTTAAGGTGAGAAAAAGTGACTGATGGAGGGAATTGGGTCAAAGGCACCGTTGTAAAGGGGGAGGGTAGAAGCCTAAGCAAGAGGACAGTAGAAGGTATGGATACAGAAACCAAGGGAGAGCAGGCCTGATGCCCTCCCTGCTTCGGATGCTGTAGGGTGCACAGTACCCTGCTCCAAGTAAGAGGGTGGAAATTAGGTAAGGGATGTGAAGACAGGTAGGGAACAGATTTGGAATAGTTGTTGGGAGAAACTGGGAAGGGAAGAAGCCAAGTATAAATGGAATAATGGTTGGTTGGTTTTAAAGACCAGTGGAATTTCTTTGATCTTTCAGAACCTTTACTGAATTAAAGTAAGAAATAAATTTATAATTGCTTCTATATGACACTTGTAGGGGATTTAGAATCCTTTCTTTGGTAAACCATTTTATATTCAGCGATTGTTCTTACTGGGGCATGGGGGCATTTTTTAAAGACCGAATCACCAAATATAGGTGTTAAATGAGGATAAAGAAGAACAGTTCATACAATCCAGGAAAAAAATATTTCGTCTTTGAAAATCCGTGAAAAATAGAACTGAGCAGAGAAATGCTGTCACTGTAAAAGTATTCTTAGGCTAGACTAAAATTGACTGCAACCCAGACAAAGGTGTGAACCTACCTAAAGAAAAAAAATTTAATCTGAAGGACCAATTAAAATTGGTCTTCTTTGGACAAAGCAAAGGAATGAGTCATTGGGGCCTTCCTAGGGTGTGCCAGGTCTCTTCCAGCTGTGGTAGGAGCGGTAGTAGTGATAGGGCTTGTGGCGATCATTTCATAATTATTTGAACTCTGTGCCCCTAAACTGCTTATATAAAGTCTAGAGACTTTATATTTGCAATTAAGAGAAGCTGCCACTTGATGGCAAAAGTGTTAGTATCGGCCAAGGATAACAAATTATCAGAAATATAATCTCATCAAAGAAACATTTCAATCTACAATAAGCAGAATATTAATCATCTTGGGTATCTCCTATTTGACAAGCACATGCTTGGCGTTAATCAAAACAGCCCCCATCAAGCTTCTGCTCTTGCCCTGTTCATCCAAATTCTGACCAATTTCTCATCATATATGGAACATTTGTGATCTGTATGAACCTAAATACTCAGTACATTTTAGACATTTGGTGTCAAGCCTTTATTTTTCTAAGTATCATAAATTTAACCAAATGGAGTTTTCCACATGGCCTATGAACCAACTAAGTCACGGATACACCATTTATCCCAACCCACATGAGTTGATGGGTGAATTGAATGCTTAACTCTAGACCTGTTTCTTGGTTAAGGGTCTGGGAAAGAAGCACATGACACTTGTTCTCTTATTTCCTACTTCTGAGACCAAGCAAGAATACTCAGGTAATGCAGTATTTCTACCCTGGGGAAGTGACTTGCCGAGAAAGTATTAGTGACCCTCTTGGAACAAGAGATGCCAACACCGGTTTTCTGTCCAAGCTCCCTTCTAGGGAACATGGGCAGGGTTGTGAAAGCCTCAGGGTGCCCTTTGTCCAGGGCTCAGATCTCTTACAATAATTCTCCTCATCCCATCACCACCCTTCCATCCATTTCTGTTCCTCAAGGGTCCCATCTTCCCAAAGTTGTTGTGTCAGAAATGTGTACTTAGTTTGGCTTAACTGATTGCTTCAAAAGAAAAAGTTTAGTAATGCCAGAGGTGCAAACACTCTTACAGCGAGGTGACATGAACAAGTGCAGTTTTTTTACTATTACTTTTTATCATAGTGATCCTAGTGCTTGCTCCTTAAAGCCAGATTTGATACTGCTGCATCTCTCCTGAGGCCTTAAGAGGAAACTGTGACAACAATATTTTTAGTAAATTTCCCATATGCATAGCTACTTTTTTTTTTAATGCATATTGAATAGGTGGAAACCTTCTACTTCCTATTCCTGTATTCTGTTCCCTTCATGGTCAAGACTTCTGTGCCTTCCAGGTGACCAATAAATAAATTTATTTGTGAAAATATGGGAGTCCCCCTCCCTATCCAAGCAGCTCTAGCTCTGCCCATTAAAGTACCTTTCTGAAGGCAAAGCAGCTACCCTTGTTGTGTAACCCAGAGCAGTGATGCAAACTCAGGGATTCCAGATCGAGTCAGGAATGATGAGTCTAAATCATTGAGCAGTTTTTATAATGGTGAGTTATTTGTTAAGAATTGTGTTCAGCTGCAGGTAACAGAAACACAACCACAGTGGCTTAACCAAATAGGAATTGATTTTTTCCCTGGGTATCAAGAAGCCTGGAGGCAGGTGGTTGAATGAATCGTCCTGATTGCGTCTAGCTTCTTGCTGTGCTGTCTTTAGCATGTGGCTGTCATCCAAGAATAGGGGAAGGGGGAGAGCAAAAGGATGCCAAGTCTGTCCTTTTCTTACTAGGAAAATGACAGTTTTCCTTGGAGCCCCACCCAGGAGACTTCCACTTACATCTCTCTGTCCAGAACTAAACTACATGCCACCATTAGCTGCAAGGGATTCTGGGGAGGTGAGTATCTTTAACCGGGCACATTGTTGCCTTGAATGAAATTGGTGATTGGTTGGCAAGGAAGAACTTCAGTCGTTAGGCAGCAAGCACGGTCTGCCCTGAGGAGACACATGACATCTTTTAAATCCGGTTTTAAGCAATTACCTGAGTGCTTTCTGAATATCAGTGTCTTCATGTCAGTGCTTCTGAATATCAGTATTTCTGTGATGGAATAGAGTTTGTTTGCTTGTGTTGTTTGTCTAGGAGAGGAGGTGATGCCATGTGCGGGTTATATCTTTCCATGCTTATAAAGAACAATGGTTGTTTCCTGACCTTTTGCAATAAAGAACCTTTGACTTACAATGTGCTAAATGCAAATGAAATTGAAGGACCATCTCTCCCAAAGTTCTTTGGCTTTCCAATGTGATGAAACCGTATGGGGCCCATACTGTGGGCCCCAAAGATAACCACAGACAGAAATCCCTCTGACCCCTCACTTTGACCCACTTTCTATTTCTTTCATACTCAAAAGAAGAGAGGTTTTTCTTCTCAGGACTATTCTTTTGGGCGTGGGACCTTTTCTCCATGTTTCCTTTTTCGGTGTATCTCTTACTTCACCCTGTCTGCAGTATTTCTCCTCTCAGTTAAGGTGTATTCTTAATCTTTCCTCCTAGGAAAGGGATTTGAGGAAACAAATGAGGTACATTCAACTTAGAGCCAGTGTCACTATATATTAATACTTTTTAATGTTCTTATACAACTCTGAATGGTCTCCTTTTCATGTTTTCTAGTTTCATTTCCTATTCTAGGCCCCAGGACAGAGCTTCAAACTAGTGTGATGTGAGCAAGGTGTAGTGTATGAATCCATCCTTCAGCCTGCAGGGTGGTGGGGCAGAGCCTGAGGAAGCCAGAGCAGAGGATCCCTGTCTCTCATCTCAAGTTGTACGCATGGCTTCTGTTTACTCTAGTGTGCCCTGCAAACATTACCATTTTCTTTGTACCATGAGATCAGAAAGCTTGGAAAATGCTGCTTTCAAGCCTGTTTGGGGCTGGGGAGTCACCGTCCTTTCTATCCTCCTTCCATACAAAAGCCTAAAACACTCTTTTTCCTTTTCTCATCTTGTGTCAAGGTCTACTGCCTTTGCCCTCTTGTAAAAGACTGTCCTGGCAGATGTGATGACTTGGTTTGTGTTCCCTAAACACTGTTGCTGGCAAAGCTGTGCTCTATCTTAACTCAGTTTCATAGCTTAATGCCCCTTTTGTTCATCTCATCTTTAGTTCTGTTACATTCTCCCAGGTTTGCTCTTCCTTTGCTTTTTATAAAGGATTTTACAGATGGGAGGTTACCCCAACCCCTTCCTCATAAATCAGCTCATTGCCGACACTGCAGCAGTTGTACCCTTTTTCTTTGCAATTTGTCTTTTGGTGACATTGACCACCCCGGCCAAGCCCAGAAGAGCCATCTTCTTTCCACACCTCCCCCTTCTTTCGTATGAACACAAGTGTAGAAACTCAGGGTGACGCTGTGCTGGGAGGTCATCAGTAGAATAGTGTTCATTACTATTTTCTCCCCTGTCTTTTTTCCATTTATTTTAGAACCTGTGTTAGTCTTTTAGCCAAGGAAAGACAGGTTATAATTAAGCTGAAAAATGTTTCTTTGGTTTTTTTCAGATGAGAATTCTCCAGCCAACTTCTGGGATTCTAAAAACAGGGGTGTGACCGGAACACAAAAAGGGCAAATTGTATGGAGAATTGAGCCTGGGCCCTATTTCATGGAACGTAAGTAACTGAGTGTGAAATATAGCTTATTATTAAACATTGCCCAATATGCAGAAATCTATGGATCTTTCTGAGTGTTATTTTAAAAGTTTTGGCTTTGGATTTACATATTTATGCCATTTG